TTCTAATCTAGGTAGATTGGTTTGGCATGGGGGATACAATGATAGAACAATACATGAGTAAACAGATATAAATAATTTTTGGTACAAAATAATGATTGCATATTAAATGGATGCAACAGAAAGCACTGGCATGCACTACAAAATTGATTAAGTCAGACAATTTTTTTTCTTAATTTCTCTTATCTTTTCTGGTATCCAGTTCCAAATATTAACTCTTTTGGAAGTGATAGGTTTGCTTGATTTTATTGGTTTATTGTTATTTTTTATTTTTTATTTGTATTTTTTTATTTTATTATCAAATTTAGAAACAATCCGTCTCTCTCAGAGAGCAAGTCTGGCAGTGCACAAGTAAAATATTAAAACATAAAAACTGCATCTGAATCTTAGGAGACATTAAAAGTGAAAAAGATGGCGGGAGCAATATAGCAACATGGCAGAGCCAGCTATTTAGGCTCTCTTGAAAGGCCAGGAGAATGGGGGTCCACCTTGCCTCTGTGAGGAGAACATTATAAAGATGGAGGGAACAGCAGAGAAAGTTCTCTTCCCAAATTCCACCAGCTGAAATTCTTTAACTGATGGGGTCCACAACATACCCTTTCTGTCTGACTGAGTCGGATGCGCCAATGTAATGGGGCAAAGACAGTGTAATGGGTAATCTGCTTTATACCATGTAGAGATTTAAAGGTCATAACCAAAACCTTGTATTGGACCTGGAAGAAACTGGCACCCAATGCAGTCAGAGGAGCAGATGTGTTACATGTATTTGGGGTTACCCAACATTGCTTGCATGGTCACATTCTGTATCAGCTGACACAGATCCTTTTCAAGGATAGTCTCATGTGGAGCACATTGCAATAGTTCAAACAAGATATGACCAGGGTGTGAATGACCAAGCAAAGAGCCTCCAGTATCCAGGAACAGGTGCAACTAGAATACAACACAAAGTTAAGCAAAAGCACTCCTAGGCAAAACTTCTCCCTCCTCTTCAAGCAGGAGCTATAAATCTAGGATAACTCCCAGATTATGCACTAAATCTGCCTGGGGTAGTGCAACCTTATCCAAGACCAAAGGTGATAAACTCACAGATACAGAATCTACCCACCCCCCGCCAAAAAAAGCCACATATGTTTCTCCCATCTCTTCTGAAAAGATCTTATATTGTCTTTTTGAGATTAATCTCCTTGGAACTATTAGCCACCCAGTCCAGTACTCTAATTGTTCAGTCTAGGCAATATAGACTAGGGAGTCTCATTAAGGCAACTTAAGGTCTGGAAATCAGGGTAGTTTTTTCCTTTCCACCTTGTGATTTGTGATAACTGAAATATTACCTTTCATTCTCAGATATATTTTCAGTTAAGTTAACAAAAAAATAGCAGGAACATTTAAATTTAAAGGACTTGATTTTTAATTTAAATCCAAAAATGATATTAGGTGGTCCAGCCCTGCCCAAAATGATACTTTAACAGGTAAGGTACATGTTAAGGTACCTTGAGGTATGTTGAACTATTATGTTGGGCATTTTCTGGAATATTGAAATAGAAATAAATGAAAGTAACTATTTTAATATCTTATGAAATATGATGATTTGCATACCAATACTTTCCCATTGGCCTATAATACATTTTTGATCATACGTCTTAAAAAACCACCATCTATTTAAGAAAAGAGCCACCCTAATGACCTAGTTACTAGGCTCTTTCCTGTTTTGAGACTTATGATTCTTTTTAATATATTAAAGTGTTAAATAGGAAACATCATATCTGTTAATGACATTTTCATAAGGAAACAAGGGTGGAGAAATCTGATTAGAGCTGGGCTGGGGAGACTGTTCGCATGCCCACAGAGAAGACTTTGTGTGCCATGTATGGCACACGTGCCATAGGTTCACCATCATGGTCCTATACCATTCCAGACAAATAGCTTCCCAGTCTTTTCTTTAAAACCTCCAGTGATGAAGCCTACGAAGGCAAACTGTTTCACTGATTAATTGTTCTCACTGTTAGGAAATTTCTCCTTAGTTCTAGGTTCCTTTTCTCTTTGATTACGTTTCATCCATTGTTTCTTGTCTTGCCCTTTGGGGCTTTGCAGAATAGATTGATCTCCTCTTCTTTGTGGCAACTCTCAAATATTGGAATATTGCTACCATGTCACTCCTAATCTTTCTTTTCACTATAGGTAATCTTCGGTTCACACCAGTTCATTTAGTGACCATTCGAAGTGACATGATAACAGTCAAGTGTTTACGACAGTCCCATAATTACGAATGTTGCAGCACCACGGCAGTCGTTCACCCTTACAAATGACCACAGAGGCACTGCAACATTCAACTTGCCTATCCCCCCCCCCACACTTCCAACAATTGCTGCCTCCCTCATATCCTGCTGCGCCAGACTCCCTTACCATGCAAAGATCTGTCTCCTCTCTGCCATGGTTTCTTTGAGAAATCATGCTGCCTCAAAATGTCTCATCAGTTTGCAAACATTTTGAGTGACGACTGGAAGCTTCTGGGCACTGTGATATCACAGGACTTCAGGCCATGAGATCAAGCCCCCCCTCCAAAGCTTCCATTTACCATGCAAGACATTTGCAAGCCGATGGGATGCTTTGAGGCAATACGATTTCTCTGCCTCAAAACATCCTGTCAGCTTGCTAACATTTTGCATGGTCCCCAGAAGCTTCCAATTTCTGTGCAAAATGTTTGCAAGCTGACGGGATGCTTTGAGGCAGTGAAATCGCACTGCCTCAAAGCATCCCATTGGCTTGCAAACATTTTGAGTGCCAAGACTGAAAGCTTCTGGGGGCCGTGCTCCTGTGTGCAGAGAAGCTGGGAAGGAGAGAGCTAGCTAGATCTTTGCAAGGTAAATGACCCAGTGTGACAGGATGGGAGGAGTGGAGCAATTGCATAAAGTATCTCAGTGAGTGGGGGGGAAACCTTGGGTAGTCTTAAGCAGGTGGCCTATTCCCACCCTGAGATAACAAATGTGCACGTTTGTGGGTGAAAGCCAGGAGGTTTCATGTTCATTTTATGGGATTCATTCTAACGAATCTTCCAGTTACCAATGTAATTGGTAGGCTCCATTACATTCATAAGTCGAGGACTACCTATTGACTAGACATACCCAATTCTTGTAATTGTTCTTTATTTTAGCCTTCAACCCTCTAGTCACCTTGTTGCTCCTTTCTGTACTTTCCAGAGTCTCAACATCTTTTTTTATATGGTGACTAAAACTGGATGCAGTATTCTTTTTAAAAAATTTTTATTGTTTGTACAAACTTTACATCATTGCCACACATTACATTTTTTTTACCTATCTGTTGTGTCTGTTTTATCTATACAAATAAATCTTTTATACCTATGACTTCATATATTTGTGCATTTACATTATTTCATACATTTTTTTCATTCTATATATAATATTCTATATGTCCTATGTATAGCAGTTTTGACTACATTTATGTTGTTTTGTATAATATATATTAAATCTTTTATAACTATGACTTTATATATTTGTGCATTTACATTATTTAATACATTTTTTTCATTCTATATTTTCTATATATTCTATGTATAACAGTTTTTACTACATTTACATCATTTGTTATAGACTATCTCATATTTCAATCTTTTAATCCTTTTCCGGTTTTGTAGTTGTTTATTGTTTTGTTAATCTTTCTTCCTTTCTTTTTTGCTTTCCTACTTTTCCTCTCTTTTCCTCTAGTCAATTGTACAATAAATCCCATACGGAGTAATATTCAGATTTGTCTTCCTCTTTTAGTTCTTTCGTGAGCCTATCCATCTCTGCACATTCCAATATTTTTTAATTACATTTTCTTCTGTTGGTATATAATTATTTTTCCAGTTTTGTGCGAATATAACTCTCACTGCTGTAACGATGTGTAAAATTAAGTATCTAGTATTTTTTCCATAATTTCCTTTTATAATCCCTAACAAAAATAATTCAGGTTTTAGTGCAATTTGATGTGTAGCAATCTCCTTTAGCCAATTTTTTATTTTTTTCCAATACTTTTTCACAGCTGTGCACGTCCACCACATATGGTAGTATGCAGTGACATGCGGTGAGCTTCATGGCCGGTGAGGCAAGCGCGAAGCCCCCGCTGAAGCCCCGGCACAGCTTTAAGATTTGTGGACTTCAACTTCCAGAATTCCTCCTCCAGTCATGTTGCGATGACGTCATCTGCATAGATCTGCTCCACTTTGCTTTATTCATTGGGGGGGGGGGCTGCCGCTGAAGATGCCGACGAGCCCCCGCCGCCACGAGAATAACTACTGCTTCCTCCTCCTCCTCCAGCACCACCACATTTGCTGCCCGGCACTGCGGCCTTTTTTCCTGCTCCCGCTCCCTCCCGCAGACTCATGGCTCCTCAAAAGCACAGCAGAGGAGGAGGGGGCAGGATAACGCAGAGCCCAGCTCAGGTGCTCCGAGCTGTTGGAGGAGGAGGAGGTGGCAGCAGATATTCTGGTGGCAGCGGGGGCTTTGGGGCTTCATTTCAGCCGCAGTGCCAGGAGCAAGCGGCTAAGACTGGCCGCCCACAAAGGACCTCCCCAGGCTTGCTTTGCTGAACACAGGGTGACTGAGGCTAGTTTTAGCGGGCGCAGCCGGTGCAAACTACCGTCAGTTGCCCCACACCCATCAAAACAAGTCTGGGGAGGTCCTTTGTGGGCGGCCAGTCTTAGCAACTATATATTACTAATTCTTTTTAATGTGAACTTGAGTCTCCCCCAAACTGATTGCCTCTGGCATAGAAGCAGCCANGGGTAGTCGCCAGTCGACACTGGCCGGCGGATGGAATTCGGAGGAGGCCTAATCTGTGGGATCTAATCGGTCTAGCGGAGGTGATTGGCAGCAGGAGTCTTATACTCCTGTGCATCTTATACTTTGAAAAATATGATAAGTGACTTAAATTGGCCAACTAATTAACCAAGTCTGCATGGGTAGTTCTACATTGTCCAAAAATGTGTTGTTGTTGTTGTTTTTTAGATGCTGTATTTTGTGAGAATTCTCAACCTCGCTCTCTCCAAGATAAGCACAAACGGGCAAAGCAGACCTTTGAAGAAATGATGAAATACATTCCAGGTTCAGTGTTTATGTGGCATGATTTATCAAGAAGAGAGGCAGTCTAAATGACCAAAGTCCATCAGGTTGAATGGCACTTGTTAATATAAACATTCTTACTATATGTTTATCAAAGCATTCTAGCATGAAAGGAGTGTAGGATTTAGAAATAGTTCAGATGTATTACCTTGCTAAAACTCTTGAAGCCCAAATAAGCTGTCTAGGTATTGGTCTTTTCCTGCCCTTTTACAAGCCATTCCTCTTTATTCTAATAGTGGTAGTGACCAAAGCTGGTACTGGACATAGCATCTTCAGGAAGCAATATGCCTTTTGAGTTGAGTAGCATGGCCTATGCTATGAGATTACTGTTTTATAGTGTTTAGTGAAAGAAAATAATAGAGATTAGAAATGCCCTGATTTTAATTCATGTCACACGTTTTCAGCCACATGCAATAGCAATAGCACTTAGGTTTATATACCGCTCCATAGTGCTTTACAGCACTCTCTGAGAAGTTTACAAATGTCAGCATATTGCCCCCAATAATCTAGATCCTCATTTTACCGACCTCGGAAGGATGGAAGGCTGAGTCAACCTTGAGCTGGTGAGGATCGAACTCCTGGCTGTTGGCAGAATTAGCCTGCAATACTGCATTCTAACCACTGTGCCATCACGGCTCAGGCATGCATGCAGTGCAATTTCTAGTATATATATAAATTGTATGATTGTAGGTATGTGCACTGCTTTCCAATTAACCCACTGCTTGCCTTTGTAGGTTTGGTAGGCAGAAGCCTCCATATTAGATTTAGATTGGTAGAACTGTTTTTTTGGCTGCAGATCTCCCATTCGCCTCCTCCGAATCCCATCCGCCAGTCAATGTTGACTGGCGACTACACGGAGGAGAGCCTTTTCTGTTGCAGCTCCGACCCTGTGGAACGATCTCNGGCGGCCAGCAACACCCCTCGCCGTCGGGGACAAAGAACACCCGGGAGCCAGGGAAACCCCACGATAAAGGCGGGGGGGAAGCCCCCCTCCCAGCTGTACCATGACACCACCCGTGGAAGCAGCCCGTCGGTAGGCCATCAGGCTAGCAACCCCACCCCCACCCTCACCCTAGCCCTAACCTTAAACCTAACCTTAACTTAAACTAACCCCACCCTATGATTCTAATCTAGCCCTACCCTGTCCCTAGCCTGACCCTACAGCAGCACAACAGCAGAAGGAGGCGTCAGACAACCTGGGGGGGGGGTCGGGTCCCCCCAAACAGTCACCGATAGCCACTTCCACGGCAGCCAAGATGGTCTCAGCCTGCTCTTCCAGGCTCCGGCAGGTATCTTCGGCCCAGGTGGTCGGGAAGTCCCCGCCCGCCTCTCGCTACAGGTGGCACAACAAAGTTGGTTTAGTTCAGTTCACCTAGCTACTTGAGTAATGACCCACAAACTCCACAGCATCGAATACTCTCTCTCTCTGGGTATTCGCAGCGCTTAGCGGCAGTCACAGTGGGGTCGGGGCTCCCTCAGAAACCCTTAGCCAACAGGCAGCAGAGCCCCTCCAAAACAGCTGAGTCACAATATCCTATAAAAGAGTCTAAAAGCAGAGTCTAAAAGCAGAGCCGAGGCAGTCTCAGGCCATGGTGTTCCCAAATGGCTTCAATGACCAGGGCAATCATACGGGAGCTCCAGCGAAGTCAGCCCCCCCCCCCCCAGGGTCAGAGCTTCCCCAGGGCAGCTGGGCCGCGGCACTCCCAAGCCGCGTCGTTCACAAATGGCCTCGGCGTCCACACGCGTCCTCAAGTGGCTGGGCTGCAACGTTCCAAACGGCCACGGCGTTCCCAGATGGCCTCAGTGATTGCAACAGTCGGAGGACCCCTCCCGGGCAGCCGGGCCGCAGCGCTTTCAAGCGCTGTTCTCAGCAACTGCGGCGCTCCCAGCTGGTCTCAGCAGTCACAGCGAGCAGATGGTAGCTCCGGTGAGGTCTCCTGACCAGCTGAGCCGCGGTAACTTCAAGCAATGTCGGCGTCTTTCGGCGTCTTTGAGCCTGGCAGCTCTGGAGAGCGAATGTCACTCCAATTCACTGCCGGCAGCAACACCCTGATGGATTGTTCGTCCTCAGCCTTTCAATTAGGTTGGTTCCCGGGCACCATTTCGCCTCTTCCAAGCCAGTTATTCTTAGGCAGAGCCGGAGCGGTAAGCTCGGCAGACATTTTCCTTGCTCATGCACATTATTTATCTTTTTTGTCTTTCAATTTGTCAGAGAGTTCTTTATGCAGCCATGCTGGTTTCTTTTGGGAGCTGTTATTTTTC